CCCAACTTAAAAAATCCAGATTTCCTGAAACATTTCATAGCCAGGTGTAGAATTTGTCTGGTCCTTCATGTACCTCCAATTAGTACCCACCGAGGCCGGTATCTCTGCTTCATCCTCACTGTAACTCATCGTAAAGAGTGTACAAACAAGACAAGTAGCCAAGTTATTACGTTTAAGCGAGGGATGCACCTCCCCAATGGCACTCATAGAGAAGCCAGTAAGCAATGCACTTCATCATCAACAACTAATACACATCTCTTACAGTCTGCTGCAAGCTTCCATCCAGTAGCATAAACTCCCTCAGAGCATAAGCCAATCAGTGAGGCTTCTGCTTATGCTTACGACCCATCTGCTCATGAAGATACTGTATCAAATTAACCGTTCTCAAAAAACGCAAAATAAACATATAAAATTATATTAAAAGTTAAATGAGCAATAATGTTTCGGTCCATTAAGTCGTATACATTCCCATTCAGCACCAAAGGTGACTGCTATTGGCAAAGTGTTAGTAACTGAAACATACCCGAGCCCTATTTTCTCTCATATCGAGTGAGGAAGAGTATAAAAAGAAGAAAGGGGAAGTCGATTTTGATTCAAATACAAAAACTCCAGAAAATACGATCACAGCTCTTCTCTAAATTACTTCTAAAAGTCACACACAAGGACGTATCTAGGGTTTTTTTGTGCAATCTTTTGCAAATTTTTCGTTAAAAAATCCTGTAATTTTGTGTGAAAAATGAACTGTTCAGTTGAAATTTGGCTAAAAAGTGCCCAAAACTAGATTATCAAAAAGGCGGAAACACCAAATTCTACCAATTTCACGGTCTTCGCGTTCCTGCAAATCTCGAGGTATGTAGTGATCCAGCGGCAAGAAGTAGGTATTTTGCACAAAGCAATAGTTTTCACTGTACTGCTCCCAAGCACCTGAAACAGAAAAAGCACAATGCTAGTACCAATTGCTACAAATCGGATGTCTAGAAACTGAATTACTAAAAATTCAAAACTCATAATATTTTTCTCTTTCGCAAAACCATTCTGGGCAAAAAGATAATAAGAATTAAGTTTGCGAAAGTAAAAAACTGAAATAACTAATCATTTCCTTTACAGTTCGTTCAACCGTTTTGATAACAGAATGATGCTAGCATGGGGAAAGGGAGGGGGAAGGGAGGAGGGGGAGGGGGTGCGGGGGGTCAATCCGCCATCAGTTTGCTTGCAAACAGACCAGAAAGAAGAAGCCGTCGATAG